AGAAGCCAGGTAGCTACCAGCCAGCCAGCCATGAGAAGCAGGAAAGTAGGAATAGAGAGAAAGAAAGAGAGAAAGAGAGAGAGGAGGGGGGAGAGAAAGAGGGAGGGAGGGAGGGAAGGAAGAAAGGAAGGAAGAAAGGCAAAAAGTCCTGAGGCACGCCGGGTGGTGGAGGGACACACACCTAATCCCAGCACTTGGGAGGCATTGGCAGGCAGATCTCTGAGTTTGAGGCCAGCCTCTGCTCCCAAGTGCTGGAATTAAAAGACATACGTAACAACTGCCCGGCCACATTTCTATCAATAGCGCGTACAATGTCCACTTCCCTACACTCTTATCAATGTCTTCAGAGGTTTTTGTTTTGGGGTTTTGTTTTTGTTTTTTTGGTTTTTCGAGACAGGCTTTCTCTGTGTAGCCCTGGCTGGCCTGAAACTCACTTTGTAAACCAGGCTGGCCTGGAACTCACAGAGATCCACCTGCCTCCACCTCCCAAGTGCTGGGATTAAAGGCATGTGACACCACACCCAACTGAATTTTTTTTAATTGACATATTTCTGTTGTTTGATGTTGATGTGTGTGAGTGCATGAATGTGTTGTGCTGTGCATGTGTGGAGGTATGAGGATAACGGTTCTCTCTGTCTACTATGAAGGTCCTGGGGATGAAAATCAGTCCTTGAGCTTGACAGTAGGCATTTTTTTTTGGGGGGGGGGAGCTGAGTATCGAACCCAGGGCCTTGAGTTTATTAGGCAAGTGCTCAACCATTGAGCTAAATCCCCAACCCCAACAACAGGCATTTTTATGCACCAAGTAATTTTGCCAGCCCATCTCAATGTATGTTTATGTTAAAAAAAATTATTGTTCTGAGGCCAAAACAAATCAAACAAAAGAATTTCCTTCAGGAGTGAATGGGCTGCTTCACTTTATTTAATTATTTTTTTAAGTCAGTTACAGATCAGATCAAGATAGGTTGGTTAGTTTGGGAAACACGCTGACACAAAAATTATCCTTCAGAATGAGCTTTTTAAGATGAGAGCACCTTGAAATCATGAGAGTGTTATAGTCAGGTCTGGAGGTAGGGCAGGGTTGGGGCAGCATTAGGAGAGATACAGCATCATATTATATAAAACTGATGACATGCCCACTCTGTGGCATGGTTAAGGGGAAGGTTTTTATTGTAGATATGAGAGAAAGAGAACAGGCAGAGGCATCTGGAAGAGTCCAGAGCAGAGAGAGAAAATAGTAGATTGAGCATGGCCAGAAGACTGGACCAGACCAAGAGAGAAGCAGGAGCAGAGCTGTGAGGGGGAGGGGCACAGAGAGAAGGAGAATGCAGGAGAGCAGAGAGGGGGTAGGAGAGAGACAGAGAGAGAAAGACAAAGAGAAGAGAAAGTGGACAAAAGAGGGAGCGCAGCCGAAATAGCAGGGTCATAAGGAGAATGAGTAGGTGGCGGGAGGGAAGCACAGGAACTGGAGAAGTTTAGGGTAGGGGAGGAGGTGAAAAGAGCTGGAGGCCAACGTGGACTCTGAATTATGTAACAGTACTTGTGATACTGAGGGAGCCTGGAGGCCAGCATGTACTTTGGTATGCTAAGAGGCACCATGGATAACCATTTGCTTCTTCTGCCAGTTGTAGCTGGAAGTTTTCCTGTGTCCTGCCTGGTCCTGCAGCTGCTCAGACCCAAATGAACACACAGAGGCTTATATTATTTTCAAACTATATGGCCTAATGGCTCAGGCTTCTCGCTAGCTAGCTCTCACATCTTATATTAACCCATTTCTATAAATCTATACTTTGCCACGTGGCTTGTGGCTTACCGGTACTTTACCTCTTGCTTCTCCTGGCGGTGGCTGGCAGCGTCTTCTCCCTCTGTCTTTCTCCTCCCTCTCTCTCCAGTTGGAATGTCCTGCCTAACCTTATTCTGCCTCACCATTGGCCAAACAGCTTTACTTATCAACCAGTCAGAGCAACACATATTCACAGCCTACAGAAGGACATCCCACATCAGACAGTGATGAGGGAAACGGCTCCTTTTGGTAGAGAGGAACCAACATCACAAGTTCCTGAGGAATGCTGGCTTTTGCCTAACCACCAGAATTTGGGGAAATGGAGCTTCCTTTGGACCTGACACATACCAGAGACATCATGACCTAGCCTTGAAGAGAATATGAATTTCTGATCCTCTTTCCTCCATCTTCCAAGTGTTAAGATTATAGGCATGCACCACCAGGTCCAATTTATGCAGGGTTAGGGATCCAACTCAGAGCTTCATGCTTCATGCCTATTATTCAAGCACACTATCAATTGAGCTATAGCCCCAGTCCTTGACATACTTTTTTGGCAGCCTGTCTACTGAGCACACACACACACACACACCCACACACACACACACACACACACACACACACACACACCACACACACAATTTTTCAAGACAGAGTTTTACTGTGTCACCTGGGCTGTCCTAGAACTCAGTCTGTAGACCAGGTTGGCCTGGAACTCATAGAGATCTGCCTGTGTCTGCCTCACAAGGTCTGGGATTAAAGATGTGCACCACCACCATCCAGCCACTGCCAATATTTTTGATAAGGAATATTTGGTTCTGTCCCAACTTTTTTCATTTTCACCTTTCAGTGGTTAGCTTTAACCATTTCTGGGGTCACATTAACCTGGATTTAAATCTCAACTGTAACATGGTATGATTGGTTTGAATGAGAATGGGCCCCATTGACTCATACATTTTTGAATGCTTGGTCCTTATCTGGTGGAACTGTCTGAGAAGGAAGGATTATGAGGTGTAGCCTTGTTGGAGGAGGTGTGTCACTGAGGGTAGGCTTTTAGGTTTCAAAAGCCCATTCCATTGGCACTTCTCTCTGTCTCTGTCTCTGTCTCTGTCTCTGTCTCTGTCTCTGTCTCTGTCTCTCTCACTTCAACTTCCAGATCAGGATATAAGTTCTTAGCTACTGGATCAGAGCCATGCCTGTCTGCCTGCCTCCATATGCTCTGTGCCTTGATGGTCATAGACTCTAATCCTTTGGAACTGTGAGTCCCCAAATTAAATGTTTTTTTTTTTTTTGTTTGTTTGTTTGTTTTTTTGGTTTTTCGAGACAGGGTTTCTCTGTGTAGCTTTGCGCCTTTCCTGGGACTCACTTGGTAGCCCAGGCTGGCCTCGAACTCACAGAGATTCTTGGTCATGGTGTCTCTTCACAGCAATAGAAAAGTAAGAAACATGGCCAAGTAACTACATCTTACTGCATTTCATGCCTTCATCTGTAAAATAGGGTAACGTATTAGGTAAGGCTGTGGAAAGGTCAGTCCTAAATCTCACTAGCTCATAACTGCAAAGGTTCATTTCTAATTGAGTGACATGTTAGATGTGGGCTGTTTTAATGCTCCATTCTTCCTTTCAGGACCCAGGCTGACAGAACAGTCCCAGCTGGGACATTAACTCTCTCTTACATGAGGAAAAAGAGCTGGAGGAAAAACATCACTGACACTGAAAGTTTTTTAGGTGGAGCAGAAGACAGGCTTGTATATATTCCATCAGCAAATGTGGGTCATATGATCAAATCAGCATCAGCGGAGCTGGAAACGGTGTCTCCATCCTGGGATGTGTTGCAGTCACCTGGCAGCCACAGATGATAAAGAACCCTTAACAGGAAGAGCAGTTTACTAGTTGAGAGCTGCAATACCACCTGCCACACAATAGGAACAGTACATTCCTTAAAGTGCTGTGGAAATTGAATGAAGCAGCTCAAGGATCCTGAAAACTGTTCTCCATTTAAATCATAGATACAGCAATTATCTGCTTCTGCTGCTCTTCACTGGACTGGGCTAAACCGACTTGATAGGAAGAAAATGGTTTGCAATTATTCCCAATATTTAATGTGGGAGTCTAGGAGTACAGACTTTGGAGTGTCCCCCCCTTTTAGGACAGGCAATCTTGGACAGATTAATATCTCGGAGTCTTAGTTTCCTCAGTGCCCAAGTGCACACACTTGAGAATATAGTGTAGGCTTTTCATTAGGGTCAAATTAAACTTGTCCTGTTCACCTAGTAGATATAGCATTTAGTGAATTATTGAACACAGATTTTATTATTGAACAACGATTTCAAAGTCTGTGAACTGTATGCAGAACATAACTACAGTACCATTGAATGGAAAGCCTTTTACTCTGTCGTTTAGGTCCCAGTTCAAGTTATCTCTTCTTCAAGGGACTCTGACAGCCTGATTTATTTTCCTGCCTCTGGTCAATTCTCCCTGTTTTTCTTGATTTACAACCTTTGTAATGCTCTGAAATTATTGTTCATTCATTGGTTTAGGTAATATCTGCCTCTGTCACTTGAAAGCAAGCTCCATGAAATCAGTGATCAGGTTTTCTTTTTAAAATTATATATATATATATATATATATATATTTTTTTTTTTTTTTTTTTTTTTTTTTTTTTTTGGTTTTTCGAGACAGGGTTTCTCTATGTAACAGCCTTGGCTGTTCTGGAACTCACTCTATAGACCAGGCTGGCCTCGAACTCACAGAGACCCTCCTGGCTCTGCCTCCCGAGTGCTGGGATTAAAGACGTGCACCACCACTGCCTGGCTAAAATTATATTCTTAATTAATATGTGTGTGTGTTGTGTGCAAGTCACTTTCCACTATGTGGATGGAACTCAAGCCATCAGGCGTGGCTATTTATATACTGAACCATCCCACAGGCCCAGGGATCATGTTTTCTGTATTCCCATCCTCTGCTTCGGAATCCTACAAAACTTTTGGATTCCAGAGGGAAGAGGAGTTTAGAGACCTGGGCAGGGCTCACCAGATGCTTACGTCCCGCCCACTTCAGACCAGACCCACCCCTGTCATCACGTGGCCCGTCACGGGCCACGCCCCAACAGTGGGCGTGACCCGCAATGTTGTGGCGGCCGCGTGCAGGCTGTGGTTGCGTCATACGCACGCTGGCGCGGCGCCGGGTTTCGGCCAGCTACGGAAGCGGGGCGTGGCCAGGCGCTAGGGCCCCGCGGACGCCGGCGCCGCCGCCTGAGTGGCCTGTTAGGCGGCCGGCGGCGCTCGGCTCCCCGCCGCTCAGGCAGCTGGGCGGCCACTCTGTTTTGAGGTCCTCGCCGCCCTTCCACGTCTCCCGGAAGAGGTAGCCGGCAGGTCCGGGAGCAGCCCGCTGCTGAGGCGGCCCGGGTGGGCGACGAGGCCGTGGCGTTGTGGCTCGGCGTCCTCAGGTGAGGCGCGACCAGGCCGCGGGCGGGACGGCTTGGCATGTGGGACCCGGTCTCTGCCTTTCCCGAGTGCCGTCGTGCTCGTCTTCGCTCAGGGCCACAGCCCCGTAGGCTCCGGCCACCGAGGCTGATTGCCCTCCACCCCTGTCTCTAACTTGCTGTGGGGGCGCAATGGGGGTGTGTCCTCGCCTCCCGGGCACCCCGGGGTCCGTCAGACCGCCGGGCCTGGCCGTTGACCCCTGACCCCGCCGCTGTGTGACATCTGACCTTTCAGGTGGCTTTGCACCACCGAAATCCCCTCTTGGAGTCTCTCACTGAGACGAGAGCCCAGGCCCCAGCTCAATGTCTATAATCCATGTGAAGGTCCCGGGTAGTGTTTTAAAGCCCCATAAACTTTCAGATGGGAGGCAAAACATTAATTAATACGTTGTTTTAGGCTTTTTTATTAGGAGAGTTAATTTTCTCTCACTCATCACCAAATTTACTTTACGCTGTGTGGAGTTTTTAAGTCAGAATGCATGTCACCCTCCGTTTTCATTTCAGTTCTCATAAACTGAAATACACTCCTAATGGGTTTCCTAAAGAATGTGTCTAAACAGTGAACTCATTGACGAGGTTAGATAGAGAGAGGAAGGGATTAAAAGGTGGACTTGACATTAGATTTCAATGTCTGAGGTGCCATCTAAGCCCTGGGATCTTTTAAAACCATATCCATGTTTGTTTTTTTAAACGACATTGCAATTTGCCACATAATGTAGCTGAGAAAGTTATTCGTGATACTGTTTACACAACACTTGGCATGTAAAGATGAACTGCTTCAGTAATGTTTCTAGGAGTGCCTGTGTAGGCTAGATTCTGGGAATTCAGTGAGCAAAACAGACATTGTGTTTATCCACCCACTCCCCTTCCCCCAAGAGGGAGAGACAGATGTTTTAAAAAGAACAGTTATAATAACCTGAAGCACTGTAAGGCAAAAGAAGGGTGTGCACACAGAAATCAAAGACCTAGCTTAGATGGAAGGAAAGATAATTCGGATGCCAGTTTAGTGAAGAAAGCCCAAGAGTTAGCCACATAACAGTTCCGGGCCCAAGGAATGCTGACTACCTTTGTCAATCATTGTTGACTTTGCAGTTGACTTTCTTCTATAGCATGAAGGTTAATTCCTTCATTGCCTTGACTTACATGGCACCTATAAGTGTTCAAATGTGTTGGTAGGATAGATCTTTTATACAGTCATTTAAAAATAATTTGGACTCAGCTTAACATGCATGTGGTAGGTACTAAGTATTTAAATTATTAAAAATTTACTTGAGACCTATATGTACATCCATAAATCACGGGAGTGCTTCACTTTAACAGTAACAGCTTTTGTGATAGTCAGGAGGTTTTTGTTTTTTTGTTTCCCCCACTTCCACCCCCAAGTTCAGCCCTCTGAAACAAATTTCAGAGAACCGTTTTTATTTGGCTGTAGTAGAATTTTGCAGAGCATGTCCTTTGCTATTTGAATCCTGTCTGAATTTGTTAGGGCATCCATGAAAAAGTGTCATAGGCTGGATGGATTAGACAGTAGAAGTTGATTTTTCTCAGTGGTCTAAGTCCGAATGAACCTTTTGATTTGTATATATTTACTTATTAGTTGTGTGTGCACTTGCAGTTGTGAGCATGTGTGTGGCCAGACGACAGCTTTCTTGAGTCCCCTGTCTCCTTCCCCTGTGGGTTCTGTGGATTGAATTTAGATTGTCAAGCTTCAGGGAAAGGGCTTTTACCTGCCCAGTACTCTTGCCTGAGGCTGATTTCTGAGGATTCTCTTCTGGCTTACATATGACTGTCTTCTCTCTTGTTTTCACCTTGTCTCTCCTTATGACTCTTTGTGTCTACATTTCTTCTCACACAGACATCAGTTTACTTTAAATTACATTTTTAAAGACCCTGTCTCCATAAAGTCACATTCGGAGGTCTTTAGGTTTGGAGTTCAGTATATGGATTTTGGGGGAACACACTGTAGTCTCTAACATATGTTTTTGCTTTGTTAAGATTTGCCCTTCTTTGAAATAAGGAAAATAGTAGTAGTTGTGATGATAGTGGAAGTTACTAGAGGGGGTTTCTTTATGCCATCTCAAAAAGTTTCTTTATGGATCTCAAAAAGTGTTTCCCCCTATTGTTTGATCTTATAACTATTCTGGCCTAGGTATGGTGATAAGTCCTTGTAGCCCCAACTACTTGGGAGTTCGGATAGGAATATGGTTTGTGCATGGTAGCTTGGGCAGCACAGCACAAACCCATCACAGAACATTTACAGAAACATTCTGTAAGGAAGTATACTTACTGTCCGACATTTTCAAGATAGGGTTTTTCGGCTTCTATTAGTAATCTGTTCAAGGTTGCCTGACTAGTAAGAGGCAGGTTAGGATTTTAACCCAAGACTCTTTCCAGATGATACACTGATCATATCCTATTCTTTTTAACAGGTTCATCAGTAGGATTATCCTGCTACTATCATGTCTTGGTTTGCTGATCTTGCTGGAAGGGCAGAAGATCTTTTAAACCGAGTTGATCAGGGGGCTGCCACAGCTCTCAGAAAGGAGAATACTAGCAACATCTTTTATAGCAAAAATACTGACTACCCTGAACTGCACCAGCAGAACACAGATTCACCATACCAGACTGGACCTAAAGCTAACTATATTTCCTCAGCTGCTGATAACATCCGACAAAAAGCCACTATCATAGCTGGCACAGCAAACGTGAAAGTCGGATCCAGGACAGCCGGGGAGGCCTCCCATCCCAATGAACATGCATCTGTCCCTAGGCCTTCATCGCAGTTTGTTCGAAGGAAAAAGTCAGAGCCTGATGATGAGCTGCTGTTTGATTTTCTTAACAGTTCCCAGAAGGAGCCCACTGGGAGAGTGGAAGTCAAAAAAGAGAAGGGCAAAGTACCAGTCTTTCCAAGCTCTCAGTCCTCAAGTGTCAGTTCTGTGAACACCAGCGTAACCACCATCAAGGCCACTGAAGAAAATCCTGGGAGCCAAAGTCCTGGTAGTTTATCAGTCCTGTTTCTTTCAGAATTAAGCAGATTGGATGTGTCATCCTAAGTTAAAATGTTTGAATAGTATTCTCCACCCACTATTACAGGAACTGTCCTCACAGGTATAAGAGAAGGATCTTTGCCAATGTGTGGTGTAAACAAGGATGACAACGTTGTCTACATTAGTCAATACTATGTTAGAATAGGGACTTTTGAATGTTGTCTGTTGACCTTTACCATACCCATGACTGAACTCAGCCTTGCATACACTAGACAGCCATTCTACCACCAGGTTGCATCCCTAGCAATTTTGCTCGTATTCTGTTTATACCTTCCTGTTTCCCATTCTTTTTTTATGATAGATGTTACATCTTTTTTTTTTTCCCCTATGAAGCATCTCTCTTTGTTACTCTAAAAAAGCACTAACATACATTTATCACCTTAAAATTTTATAGTTGCTGACCAGGCCTGGTATGTAGGCCTATTATCCTAGGTACCTGGGAGCCTGAGGCGGGAGGATAAGAAGTTCAGGGCCTGCCTAGGATACAGCATGAATTAAAGGCCAGCCTGGACAATTTAGTGAGATGCTGTCTAAAAATAAAAACTAATAATAAAGGTCTGTGTATGAAACTAAATAGTGCAGCGCTTGCTTAGGATGCAGGAAGCCTTGGTGTTCAATCTTAGTACTACAAAAAAGAAAAATAGAATTAGTAATCTTTTAATACTGAGTCAGTGTTCTGATTTCCTGTTTGTATCATATTTTTAAAGATTTGTAAGCCAGGTGTAGTGGCACATGCCTTTGATACTAGTACTTGGGAGGCAGAGGCATGTGGATCGCTGAATTCAGGGCTAACCTAAGTCTATAATGAATTCCAGGACAGCCAGGACTACACAGAGAAACCCTGTCTCAGAAAAGGAAAAAAAAAAAAAAAAAAAGGTGTCTTTGAGACTCCAGAGAAGAATTGAGATCTTAATATAATTTTTATCTATAGGCCACCCGACAGTCTTTGTTTTACAGTTTATTTATTGACTAACAGATGTAGATTTTTAAAACTTATGTGTAAGTGGTAAATACATTCTAAATTTAATTATGATTTTTCTTTTGACTTTGAGTTACTTAAAAGTTTCACTTAGTTACAAATGTGAAATTTTCCTACTTTCATGATTTTTAACTTGATAACATTGAAATCAGATAAAAACAGCCCGTGAGTTTCAGTTAAGTTTTGTGTGTGTGTGTGTGTGTGTGTGTGTGTGTGTGTGTGTGTGTGTATACATATCTAAATCCTTGCATTAAATTTGTAAATTAGACTTTTAGATCTTTAACACATTTTTTGGACCTAATGAGGAGCTGTCAATATTTAATAATAGATATGTTTATTTTCTGGAGGTGTGTGGGGTGCATGTGTGCCACAGAAGCATGGAGTGATAAAGGACAGTTTGAGGGATTTGTTTCTCCTACATGGGTTCTCTCCTATGAAGGTTCTGGGGATTTAACTCAGGTTATCAGGTTTGGCAGCAAGAGCCTCTTCCTGTTGAGCCTGTAGTCAAATTTTTGGAGAAAAGTCTTTCTTTCTTTACTTCTTTATTCATTGGTATTTTGAGACAAGATCTAGAGCCTGTAACCATCCCACCTCATCCTCCTTAGTGCTGGGATTACATGTGCCATGAGCCTGGATCTCACTGGGATATTAGTTTTGAGAACTAGTCTAGCCCAGGTTGTCCTTGATCTCATAGGTCAGCCTTAATATTTTTTGTTTTTGTTTTTCAAGACAGGGTTTCTCTGTGTATCCCTGTCTGTTCTAGAAGTCACTCTGTAGACCAGGTTGGCCTCAAACTCACAGAGATCTGCCTGCTTCTGCCTCCTGAGTGCTGGGATTAATGGCGTGTACCACCACCGCTCCGCTGGTTAGCCTCATCTTATGGTGATCCTTTTGCCTCAGCCTTCCAAGAGGTGGGATTACAGTGTGTACCACCACACCTGGCTTCTTGTGTTTTCAGTTTGCATTTGTGCAGTTGCCAAAGACTCTGAGGATTTCACCTTGTTATTACTTGTTATTTAACCTTGTGAAGAGTCCCCTTCTGTCTTATTTTAAAAAATAAGTTAAATGTGGGACTGGAGAAATGGCTCAGTGGTTTAGAGCACTGGCTGCTCTTAGAGGACATGGTTTGATTCATGGCACCCACATGATGGCTCACAACTGTCTGTAACTCCAGTTCCAGGGAATCCAATACTGTTCTTCTGGCCTCCATAGACACAGGGCATTTACAAGGTGTACAAATATATACAGGCAAATATTTATACACATTAAAAATACAAAAGTAAGCTGAGTGGTGGTAGCACATGCCTTGAATCCCAGCACTTAGAAGGCAGAGGCAGGTGGATCTCTGTGAGTTTGAGGCCAGCCTGGTTTACAAAGTAATTCCAGCACAGCCAGGGCTATACAGAGAAGTCTTGTTTTTAAAAACAAATTTAAAAATTAAATAAACAAAAGTAAATTAAAAGTTAATTAAAAACAAGATGAATTGAACTCATCTTTTGGTAAGACATTTTAGATTTCAGTTTGGTTATAATATATTACTGTGACCTGTTGTACTAGTCTTATTGCCTTGAACCCACAGCTGTTCTGTTGTGCCTTCTCAGTGTTTTCAGTGTTGATACTTGTACCCTCTTTTTTCTTTCTTTTTTTTGGTTTTTCGAGACAGGGTTTCTCTGTAGTTTTGGTGCCTATCCTGGATCTCGCTCTGTAGACCAGGCTGGCCTCAAACTCACAGAGATGCACCTGGCTCTGCCTCCTGAGTGCTGGGATTAAAGGCATGTGCCACCACTACCCGGCACCCCCCTTTTTTCAAAACCATTTCAGAAATAAGGAAATCCAGTGTTTAAATTATCTCTGGCTTTCTTCTTCCCAGAACTGTTTTTATATTTTGTCCCTTTTCTTCCATTGTGTCCAGACTTTGAGGGTCCTTGAAGGTCTGTAGACTCCATTTGTAAGACTAGATTTTCATTAGAGAGTATCTGTTGAGAATTAATGGTATTTTTATGGGATCCTATGTAGCTGGAAGTTTTCCTGTGTTCTGCCCAGTCCTGCAGCCACTCAGACCCAAGTAAACACACAGAGGCTTATACTAATTACCAGTTGCATGGCCTATGGCAGGCTTCTTGCTAGCTAGCTCTTATGACTTAAATTAACCCATTTCTATTAATCTATATTTTGCCACGTGTTCTGTGGCTTACTGATCTGCTGGCATGTTGTTCCTTGGGCAGAAGGCTGGCGTCTCTTTCTCCTCTCCTTTCTTCTGTCTATCTGCTTGTATTTCCTGCCTGCCTCTAAGCTGCCTTGCCATAGGCCAAACGGCTTTATTTATCAGCCAATCAGAGCAACACATTCACAGCATAAGAAAGACATCCCATAGCACTCCCCCTTTTCTGTCTAATCAAAAAGGAAAGTTTTAACTTTAACATAGTAAAATTACATATAACAAAACGGTATCAAGCAAGAATTACAGGTATAATATCTAGTCTATTTGTATTTGGGAAAATTAAAGAAAATATTCTATCATCTATACTATATTTGTGAGTCTAAAGTTTCATATCTAATTTATCTTTTATCATAACCAAGAAAAATTATAATTATAACTATCTAGTCTTCAATTGCATCAAAGACCCCAGGAGGATATAATATTACCTAAGTAAACAGGAAATGCATTGTAAGAAATTTCTAAAAATCTAGAATGACAGAGACAGCTGCCTGCCTGGACAGTAATCCAAAGTTCCTCTGCAGTGTACAGCATACAGAAAGACATCCCACAGCAATCCTAACTATAGCGACTAACTCACCAAGAGGCATTCCAAAAGCAAGTGGCAGCTGCTTACAGTGACAGTGCTATTATACCCAAGTGTGTTCTTGTTTTACAGAAGGAAATAGTTCTGAGTCTATGCCTAAAGGCCACCAGGAATCCTCAAAGGAAAGCACGGTGGCGGCATTGAATGCCACCAACACGGAGCCCAGTCTGCCACCTGGTGACGGCAGCAGCTCCCACGAGCTGTCTAACCTCCGACTGGAGAATCAGCTGCTCAGGAATGAAGTCCAGTCTCTAAATCAGGAAATGGCCTCAGTACTTCAGAGATCCAAGGAAACTCAAGAAGGTAGGCCTTAATTAGATGGGGCTTACGAAAGGTTTTTTTCCTCAGAAATTTAGAACCTAAATTTTGGCTAGTTCAGATTCTTTTTTTTTTTTTTTTTTAAGATTTTTTTTTTTAGATTTATTTATTATGCATATAATATTCTGCCTGCATGTATGCCTGCAGGCCAGAAGAAGGCACAAGATTTCATTACAGATGGTTGTGAACTACCATGTGGTTGCTGGGAATTGAACTCAGGACCTCTGGACAAGTATTCTTTTTTTTTTTTTTTTTTTTTTAATTTTTATTTTTATTTTGCAATACAATTCAGTTCTACATATCAGCCATGGATTCCCTTGTTCTCCCCCCTATGGTCCCCCTCATCTTCCCCCCAGCCCACCCCCCATTCCCACCTCCTCCAGGGCAAAGCCTCTCCCGCGGACTGAGATCAACCTGGTAGACCCAGTCCAGGTAGGTCCAGTCCCCCTCCTCCCAGGCCGAGCCAAGCGATCCTGCGTAGGCCCTAGGTTTCAAACAGCTAACTCATGCAATGAGCACAGGACCTGGTCCCACTGCCTGGATGCCTCCCAAACAGATCAAGCCAATCAACTGTCTCACCCATTCAGAGGGCCTGATCCAGTTGATGACCCCTCAGCCATTGGTTCATAGTTCATGTGTTTCCATTTGTTTAGCTATTTGTCCCTGTGCTTTATCCAACCTTGGTCTCAACAATTCTCACTCATATAAACCCTCCTCATTCTCGCTAATTGGACTCCCAGAGATCCACTCAGGGCCTAGCCATGGATCTCTGCATCCAGATACCTCAGTAGTTGGATGGGGTTTCTAGCACGACAATTAGGGTGTTTGGCCATCCTATCACCAGAGTAGGTCAGTTCGGGCTGTATCTCCACCATTGACAGCAGTCTGTTGAAGACACGGGGATCGCCCAATGACAGAGAAATGGAAGAGATCTACATGAACAGCCTGGTCATGAGTGGGGGTAATGAAGGACGAGGGTCGAGGGAAAGAGAGCTTGGGGGAGCGGGAGATCCCAGCTGGATCAACAACAGAGAGGGAGAACAAGGAATAGGAGACCATGGTAAATGAAGACCACATGAGAATAGGAAGAAGCAAAGTGCTAGAGAGGCCCACAGAAATCCACAAAGATACCCCCACAACAGACTGCTGGACAAGTATTCTTAACCACTGAGCCATCTCTCCAGCCCCTAGTTCAGATTCTTAAGAAACCACTAAATTAAAAAAAAAAAAAACGGGAGGACAGAGTCTTACACTATAGCCTAGGCTAATGTCAAACATAAAGCAGTCTTTCTGTTTCAGCCCGACGAATACTAGGTTTACATATGTAAATTACTAATTAAGAACCAGTAGAAGTCAGATATTAATAATATCTGATTATTTGATTTATTTATTCTGAGCTTTAAGGAGAACTATTTCATGATCCAAAGTTGGGGTTAAGTGCTAGACACTCATAGGCAGGGTCACAGTGTTGCCACCCCAGGGACCATAAATACACATGGAATTCTGTGTGACTAGTGCCCTCCAGAACCATGCAGTGACATGACAAGTAGATAATCCTCTAATACTTCAGAAATGATTCAAAAAGAAACAATTGGGACTGGAGAGCACTGGCTGCTCTTCCAGAGGATGAGTTCTATTCCCAGAACCAATAGGGTAGGTCACAACCATCTGTAACTCCAGTTCTAGGGATCCAGTGTCCTCTTCCGATTTTCAGGTGCACTGGCCATGCATGTGGTGCACATACATACATGCAGACAAAAACTACACATAAAAATAATCTTTTCAAAAAAAAGAAATAATAAGCCAGGTGGTGGTGGCACATGCCTATAATCCCAGCAGTCGGGAGGCAGAGGCAGGTGGATCTCTGAGTTCGAGACTAGCCTGGTCTACAGAGTGAGTTCCAGGACAGCCAGGCCTACACAGAGAAACCCTGCCTTGGGGGAAAAAAAAGAAAGAAAAGAAATAACGTGTCTGTGATGTGGTGGTGACAGAGAGGGTGTGAATACTATGGCTGTGGCTGAGGAGAGATGAAAACGGATAGGAAATGTCTACCCTGGTTCCTAGGGCCAGTGAGATCAGTGTGATGGAACAGTGGGAAGTTTTATTTAGGCATGAAAGAAGGCCAGAGGGGCAGAATAAGATGATTAAAAAGACTAGGAAAAAAAAACCTTTGATTTGCTCAGACTAATGGAGCCATGAAATGTTTTGAAACTAATGTTTTATGAAACCCCATGAAGTTTGTTTCAGTACTTTTAAAATTGTTTTTGGTGGCAGACTACATATCTCACTATGCATATCATGAAAAGATGTGTTCTGTTTTGCTTGAGTAGAGAAATTTCATTTTTTTTCTAGAATTAAATAAGGCAAGAGCAAGAGTTGAAAAATGGAACGTTGACCATTCCAAGAGTGATCGGATAACTCGGGAGCTCCGAGCCCAAGTCGATGACCTTACTGAAGCAGTGGCTGCCAAGGATTCCCAGCTGGCTGTCCTCAAAGTGCGACTGCAGGAGGCTGACCAGGTGCTGAGTTCCCGCACAGAAGCACTGGAAGCCTTACAGAGTGAAAAGTCGCGGTAGGTAGTTCTGCTGATAAAGAAAAGGCTAGCTAGAGTGTACACGTTTGGTAATAGTGTAGTGTTTACAGCTTATGAAGAATCAGCTTTTTTAGAAATTTAAAAGGGAAAATTTTATAATGTTGGAAATGTGAGTGATTAAAATGGATTCATTTTTTTTGACCCTTGAGATACATAGTTAGAAAATTGTAAATTTAAGAGTATTTAAAAAGCATAGTGCCATCCTTTATTTAGTATATGGTATGTACTTATATTTAGCCTAAAAATACAAAAGTATTCTGTTAAGAACATCTTAGGAGTTGGGGATTTAGCTCAGTGGTAGAGCACTTGCCTAGCAATCACAAGGCCCTGGGTTCAGTCCTCAGCTCGGGGGGGAGGGGGGGGAACATCCTAGGTTGAGGCTAGTGAGATGGCTTCAAAGGTTAAAAGCAATGGCTATTCTTCCAGAGGACCCAGGTTCAATTCCCAACACCCATATGGCAGCTCACAACTGTCTGTAACTGCAGTTCCAGGGGATCTGACATTCTCATATAGACGTACATGCAAGCAAAATACCAATAAATAAATAATTAATTTAAAAAAAAGAATGTTGGGGTTGGGGATTTAGCTCAGTGGTAGAGGCAAGGCCTTAGGTTCGGTCCTCAGCTCCGAGGCGGGGGGAGAGAATGTCTTAGACCATCTTTTTTCTTTGACTAATTCATAGATGCTCTAGGAATTATGGTACCTGGTTGCTTGCTCCCTGTGGCAATGTGTTCTTTCATGTGATGCATTTTCCTTTAGAATAATGCAGGATCACAATGAAGGCAGTAGCCTACAGAATCAAGCCCTGCAAACTCTTCAGGAGAGGCTGCATGAAGCGGATGCCACTCTGAAGAGAGAACAAGAGAGCTACAAACAAATGCAGGTCAGAAGGGACCTTCTCTTGGTACTCAGGCAGAGAGGGTTGCCTCTGCACTTCATAGCACATTCATTCTTCAGCAGAATTCTACCAGGCATCTTGTCAAACAGAAGCCTAGATATTTAAAAAAAATTATCTTAACCCTTGCTAAGTTAATTTATGTATGAGAGAAAATTAAAATGGTTTATGTTCATCAGAGCTATGTATCTGTCATTGAATTTGGTTGTAACAACCATTGCCATTTCAGTAAATGGGGTATCTTGTTTCATCTTGGGGTATCTTATTTGTTTTTATTTAATCTTGTCTAGTTCTAGTTTAACCTGATTCATTTATTTCAAGGGAAAATTCTCTCTCTCTCTCTCTCTCTCTCTCTCTCTCTCTCTCTCTCTCTCTCTCTCTCTCTCTCGGTTTTGGTTTCCTTGTGTAGCCCTGGCTGTTCCAGAACTTGCTCTGTAGACTAAGCTGGCCTCAAATTCAGAGATCCGACTGCCTCTGCCTCCCAAGAGTTGGAACTAAAGGTGTGCACCACCATGCTGGCTTATAGCTCTACTTTTAAAGGAATTTTTAAGTGTAGTTCAGTCTTTGACCTGTTTACACTTGAAAGTCACCTCTGAATCTACTGAAGGTTTTAGTGAGTTGTTTTTTTTTTTTTTTCCAGTGTGGGGGAAGGTTATTTTGTTTTTGTTTTTACTTTGTTTTTGAGATAGAGTCAGGTGATGGTGGCGCACGCCTTTAATCCCAGCACTCGGGAGGCAGAGCCAGGCGGATCTGTGAGTTCGAGGCCAGCCTGGTCTACAGAGTGAGATCCTGGACAGGCTCCAGAACCACACAGAGAAACCTTGTCTCGAAAAACAAAACAAAACAAAAAAAAAACAAAAAAGAAAGAGAGAAAGAGATAGAGTCTTACTACATAGCCCTAGAAGTCCTGGACCTTGCTATGTAGACCAGGCTGGCCTCAAAAATCACAGAGGTCCACCTGCCTCTGCCTTCTAAGCTGGATTCAGGGCATTTGCCACAGTGCCCAGTTTAGTGAGGTTTTTTTTTTAATACTCAAGGGTGAATCCAATGGACAGTCAAGGTTGCAAACTCTTATTTTGTATCTGTAAATATTCTATAATCTGAAATACTTCTAGTCCTGGGGAACTTTGGATAAGGGGTAAATAACCTATTTCAACATGTAGTTCATGTTAAAAAAAAATATTAGTGAGAGGCTGAGCGATGTTGGCGCACTCCTTAAATCCCAGCACTCCGGAGGCAGAATCAGGTGGATCTCTAATGAGGCCAGTCTAGTCTATAGAGCAAGTTCCAGGACAGCTAAGACTACACAGAGAAACCTTATTTCAAAGAAAAATATATATTAGTGAGCTATTTTATGTTCTCTTCTGTTTTCTGAATTTTTAAAACATGGTGTATTTTATTTACACTTACAGCACATTGCAATTCATTCACTCAGATATTGAAACTATCTTCGGGGATATTTGGTCTGTATTTAGATTCTTTAAAATTTATAGATGAACAAGAGTCACATACCTATGTTGTTATAAAAATATTCAGAAGTTTTTCTGAGAACAGGCAGTTCCTCAAGAAGCATAGAGACATAGAGTTCTCATATGGTTTATCAGTTCTACTTTAGGTATCTGCCCAAGAGATTCAGAAATGTGTGTTCACATAAAACTTGCTGACTGTGTGTAGAGCAGAATTCATATCTGGGCAAAGCTGGAAATAAAAATGATACTGGATGCTGAGATAAACAAGTTGTGGTATGTCCATATAAGGAAATCCTGTTCAGGCCATAAAAAAGAATAAAGTGAGGCTGGGATGATGCTTTAGTAAAGTTTGTGCTATGCCAGCACGAAGACCTAGGATTGGATTCATGTAAAAAGGTGGACATGGTGGCACAAATCAGTGACTTCAGTTCTGGGTGAGCAGAGGAAACACACAGACTCCTGGAACTCTCTGGCCAGCCAGTCTAGCCATGGTAAGCTCCAGGTTCAGTGAGAGACTCTGCCTCAAACTAAACCAAACTAAACTAAACTAAACTAAACTAAACTAAAAGGTGGCTTTCACTGATTTGCTGAGGGTTGCTTTATATTTGTGGCAATCCTCTTACCTCTGCCTCCCAAGTACTGGAGTTAGGTGTGCAACACCATACCCGGGTGTTTCTTAGAAAACAGATCCTCAGCACCAAAATTGGAAATTCCAGTTCACTAAGCCCAAAAAAGACCTTGTTGCACCTTGAGCAAACTCCTAGTTGACTTTAATGCATTGTTCTTTTTTGGACGTCATTGTTGGTTAAAGCTATAAATCCCTTAAGATTCTGAGTGTATGGTTGTAAATATATTTCAAGCTAAATGACAGAATAAGTATAATGTAAAATTTACCACAGAGTGAGTTTGCTGCACGCCTTAATAAAATGGAAGTGGAACGTCAGAATTTGGCAGAAGCGGTTACTCTGGCAGAAAGAAAGTACTCTGAGGAGAAGAAGAAGGTTGATGAGCTCCAGCAGCAAGTCAAGCTACACAGGTCAAGCTTGGAGTCTTCTAAGCAGGAGTTACTTGACTACAAGCAGAAAGCTACAAGGATCCTCCAGGTAAGCACAGGTGTACACCCTGACATGCCCCTTGCTGGGAGGCACCAGCACTCTAAATACTCAAGATGATGTACTGGCTGCATTGCCCTGCTGCACTTAGAACTCCTATGAAAAGGGTAGAAACTCTCTTGATCTTACCACTGCCTGCTTCACATTTTCAGCTTGCTACCTTCATCTCTGATGATGCTGTTGTTGCTAAGCACCTATGTTATGCTCCTTTGGTGGTTCCTATAAAAACTGCAGTCACCAGTGTAGCCTTCAACTTCTCATCTGAGAGAAAAAGTGTGCTTTTGTTTGATTTAGGGTAGTCTGTCTGTCTGCGCATGGGTTCCATCTGCCTGCTTCATTTTTGTTGCTTCTCATACGTCTCACTGTTCTCATGTGTGTGACTACTGCTACTGTGTCCTAGCTCACAAAAGCATGTGGTCACTTAGCAGAAGAATGGGGACTAGATTTTGGGCCCCTTCCAAAGAAAAAATAAGTTGGTTTCTTGTTTTGCCCTTTTTTTTTTTTTTTAATTTTTTCTTCTTTGAACTGGCTCCTGTTTTGTCTCAACATCAGATACATCAGAATGATTAGGACTAGACTATCTTCATTTATTAGGAACTTATTCCCTTTGCTCCATCATATCATTTCTATCCATTACATTTCTTAATTTTCTTCTCAAAAAGGTCTAGGATGACCTGAACATGTATTTGCGGTTACATTTTGCTGTTTGCATACACTTTGACTTGGATGACACAGTCACTCTGTTACCCTCCCACCTTCTTGGAGATCCAGCCTTCTGTGCCACATACCACCTTGGCTCCTACTTTGTCCTCTCTTGTCCTTGTTTCCAGCTCTCTGAGGTTTTCTTCCCAGTCTCCAAAGAGTAAAGGCCCCTTTAAGCCCTGTCCTAAATCTTCTCTCCTACCTTGCATTGCTGTATGCTCACTTTGCTTCTGCCTGTCCTCTCCTGAGACTTCTAGCATGTCTCTAACCCTCACTTCCTGACCTTGGGTTCTTGCTACTTGCTCTTTAGGTTGAGAGTCTCAACTCCCAAACCAGCTTCTTCATTGTTTTGTTCTGGTAATATTACTGTCATCGGACACTAAAGCATGAACCCACACAGTTGTTTACAAAACTTTAGTCTTTTTTTAAAAAAACAAAACAAAAACAAAAAAAAAAAACTCTTTGATTTAAGGGCGCATTCAGCTTAGCAGATTTTAAAAAATCAAAATAAATAATTGACAGAGTACAGTCATTGATGCAGTACAGTGGGACTTGGAGAGAAAAATGCTTTATGTGCCCAGGGGTGCCAGGGTTCACTGCACTGAGCTGACACTATAAAGAGAACCTTGAAGGATGAGTAGGAAGGCTCCCACAAGGGTAAAGATTTAGATAAAACAAGTTGTGCCAGAAGCAGGGGTCCTGAGAGAACACAGTGTGCCTGGGAAGCTAGTGCCCAAGATTAGGTGATGGGGATAAAACCCAGTGACGGGCTGGAACCAGATTGTGAAGGCCATTGCAGGTTTTATCCTGTAGGTGCTAAAGAAACTGAGTAGCATTATAAGATTTGATATTAAGAAGTGTAGCAGCAGTGAGGAACTTAGGTGAGAGTTGGACATCATCTTGTTCATCGTTGCATCCTGAAACAATATCTGGTACTCAAGAAATGTAATGAAGGAATAAGTGAGATGGTGAGATCAGAGGCAAGTAGATGCTAACAGGTGATTATAAGAAGTGTTAGTGGCCTTACCTAGGTTTGTGGAAGCGAAGATGGCTAATGGGATAGCTACTGGGTAGAAGATAGAATATTCGAGAAATTTAAATTGGAAATTTAATTGGAGAGAAGGGAAAGAAGGCAGATGGAATCTGGGATGACTGGGTTTCTGTTTGCATGTAAGGATGTTGTTTCTTGTCCTCTAAAAGGAACAAAGAGGAATGATGACATGTTAGGGTTGAGGGAGGTTATGACAAGTTATAATGAGGTTGAAAAACTGATATGACATTGATGTGAAAGTGTCAGGAAGGTAATTAGAAATTCAGGCCTGAAGCTCAGCAGAAGATATGGGTGTTAGCCATGGGAGATAGCGTCAGTTAGGGTGTAGGGGAAATTAATTGTGAGTAATATGCAACTTGAGAGGAGACCTAGGACTAATTAGACTATTCTAAACATCAGCATTTACAAATTGGGCAAAGAAAAAGAAAACTCCTAAGAAGAAAGTGGCCACAGTTTGGAGAACCAGAAGAAGCTGGGCCGGGTAGAGTGCCCAAGGACAGTGATGGGCAGTTAGGCAGCTTCTGTGATGTGATGAAGGCTAGGTAGAGTTCTTGGATTTGGCATGTGGAATCTCTGGGTTTCTCAGAAAGGGGAGGTCCAGTGTGCTTTGGGTGGTGAGGATGTACGGATAGTGACAGCTTGACTGGCAACATAATGAAAGGCCAAAGGCTGGATGCAGATGGGAGAGTTGTCAGGTTAGAGTCCTGTGATTGGGGTGGGAGGCAGTATGTGAATGGGGATGTTCAATGTAGCAAATTTGAAAAGTAAAGTTTGAAGAAAGAAATGGAAATGCCTATAGTTCTGCCACTTAAAAGGAAAAATTCTTTTGAAAGGAGAATAACTTTAACATTCTGTATTCAAGGTAAAAGAATCGATCCTTACTGGTTGAGAACTGGCACTTTATATGTTATCTTCATAAGTCTTTTAGATCTCTTCTTCCTGCTCATCCTTCATGCCAGGGATCCACAGATCTTTCTGTAAAGGACCAGATACTAAATATTATATATTCTATGGACTAAAATGGTTACAATCATATATTCTTTGTTTTCACTTCTTACAATCGTATTGAAATGTGAAATACATGGTTAGCTTTTGAGCTGTACAGAAACAGGCCACCAGATTGACCCATGGACCATGATTTGGACACCTGCTGTACAATACTTCCTGATCAACCCTCCTAAAATGCATCTTGGTGACAGCACTCTCCTGTTCACTGTCTGGTAATTTGATTTAGCCTATCAAGTCAAATGAAAATAAATTGGATGATCCTCCTGTCTCTACCTCCCCAGTGCTGAGGTTACAGGCACATGCCATCACAGAAGATTGACTTCTTATTTAAATATACATTCTGAAATGTTCATGAATTACTTTGTAGAATTTGCTTTGAATTAGTCTAGAGGATTAGGGTGGAGAAACGGAGGTGAGAGGATAAATGTGTGTGTGAAATAAAAATCACCATGAGCTGACCACTGTAGCACCATGTGACAGGAACATGGAAGTTTATTTATATAAGAAATTTTCCATAAAAATTAAATAAATATAGTCTGAATTAAAAAAAAAAGAAAATAAAATAAATTGGTCTCCAGATATGGTGGCACCTGCCTATTACTCTAGCACTTAGGAAGCTAAAGCAGAAGGATTGCCACAAGTTCAAGGCCAACATGGGCTGCAGTGTGGGACTTCATTTCAAACAAAACAAAAATAAATGAAAGTTTAGCCTGGCATCTGAAGCACTTACAATTGGACCCAAACTCTGAGCTGTCTCACACGGTGCTTTTGTGTTTCTCAGTATGTTTTAAAACTTGCAGTATTTCAGTGTCAGTATAAATGCTGACTTGTAGTGAAACCTTCTGTCCTCCTCAGAACTCTGCAATAATCTGACCATTTCCCCTTGTTTGGGTTTATTGCATTCTTCTACTGGGTACCTTTAATTTCCTGTTTAGTTTGTGAGACAACAGGTGCTTTCCAGAAGAGGACATGGTCTTTATCTCACAGAGGTCTTTGGTACAGTGCCAAGTACATCTTAGATGCTCCCTAAGCGTTAGTTGAGTGGAGTGTGATTGAGATAAGAAGAAAATAGGCCAAACTTATGAAATATTTGCAACTATAACATGTTCATGGGGACTAAGATCCAAGGACAGAACAGGCAGTGCTAGCGCATGCCTTTAATCCCAGCACTTAGGAGGCAGAGGCAGGTGGATCTCAGTGAGTTCGAGGCCAGCCTGGTCTACAAAGTGAAGGTCTAGAACAGCCAGAGCTGTAATACAGAGAAACCCTGTCTCAAAAAAACAAAACAAAAAGATTCAAGGACAGTACAGCCAGGATCTCTTGCATTTTTATCCCTATGGCTTTAATTAGCTGTGGATTTCCTCTATGGATGAATGTCTGGTGGTGAGATGACACTGTATAAGCTAGCTGGGAATAATGCTTAGTGAAAAGTGTGCATAGCGTGTGTATGGCCCTGGGCTCAGTCTTCGGCATCACAGTATAAAGTGAAGTAAAGTACAAGCTAGGGGCTCGATAGATGGCCCAGAAGTTAAGAGTACTTGTTACTCTTAGAGAGGATTCAGTTCCCAGTGCCCAGGTGGTGGCTTACAACAATCTATACTAGTTCCAGAGGATCTGATGCCCTCTTTTGACTTCTGTGGTCACCAGGCCTTATATGGTACACAGACATACTTGCAGGCAAAACACTTACACATATAAAATAAATAAATATAAAAAGAATAATAAGCTAATATCATCTTTGCTTAATTATACTCTCTGTTTCACAACAGTCTAAAGAAAAATTGATAAACAGCTTAAAGGAAGGCTCCAGTTTTGAAGGCCTAGATAGCAGTACTGCTAGCAGCATGGAGCTAGAAGAACTTCGGCATGAGAAGGAGATGCAAAAGGAGGAGATCCAGAAGCTAATGGGCCAGATACATCAGCTGAAATCTGAGCTACAGGTAACAGTCACTGCTTAGCATCCCGAATAGTCATTTACCCCAGCTACATCAGTTTGAGAGGTTATGATTCTGTATTTTAGGGGGAGATGGCATATTGAAACAGTGTGTTTCATTCTGCTAGAATGTTAGTTACCATGTAGATATGTATCTACAGCAATCTACAGCAGTAGGTGTCTTTTCTGTTGACTGATTGTAACTTGGGGTACCAAACACAGGTGAAGTACTTACCACATGCTGCCATGTACATAAGAGCCTAAATTGTACCAGGAAACAGACAGGAATCTTTAAATGTATGGATCTTAAATCCTGCTATTGAAAAGCAAATTTGGGGGGGGCTTTTTTATAAAACTGAAATGTTTCCTGATATTAGCATGTACTCAGAAACTAATTATATTTTTATGCATAGTCTTACAATTGTAGTTTGTGTATAAGTGCTGTGTTTAATCTAAAAGTAACAATCTGGGGATATGACTCAGTAATAGCATGCTTACCTAGCATGTGGGAGCCCTCAGTCCTATTCCCCTAGCCCAAAACAGTAAATTGGGCCATTTAGTCCACATGATTATAGCATCTTTGACATAGGAGAAGGTCTCTGGTGATTGGAGATTAAGTGCAGGGTAATGAACTTTCTAGTCTTTTTTTTTCTTTTTTAGTAGAATCATTTAAAATTTGTAAATAAATATGAATTCCAAAGAATTTAATTGCATCTAGTTAGAAATTGTGTAGATGCTAAATTTACTCATATCTGTTCAATGCTTTTGGGGTAAGAATATAAAAACAACGTGTTTTAACATTTCACTCCAGCATCATAAATAACACTGACCCATTTTCTTCCCCTGCTCAAGAAATTTACAAATCTGTGTTAGGTCTAGCCAAATAAAGAAGCTGTTAGAGCTGGCAAGCCGGCTCAGTATACAAAGACCCTTGCTGTGCAAGCTTGATAACCAGTTTGATCCCCAGAATCTACAGAAAAATAGAAGGAAAGAGCTGACTCCACCTTGTCCTCTGACCTATAGATACATACGGTGGCAGGCATGCCCCTTACCATTTATAAACATAATAATTTTTTAGGCATACAGCCAGTGTGGTGACTCATGCCTTTAATTCCAGCATTGAGAGGCAGAGGCAGGCAGATCTCCAAGTTTGAGGACAGCCTCCCTAGTGCTGGCATTAAAGGTGTGTACCACCACTCCTGCCTTCCTTTTGAGTTTGAATAAGTGAGAGTAAGAAATATGGGAGATATGAAATTGAGTAACAGTAGTAAAGCTGGAAGCAGCTCACATACTAACCTCAGTGATGTCAGTAGTTATTTTCTCTGTGTGCACATTACCTACAGCCTACAGTGAAACTAATGTAGTGAAGTCTCTTTTGGTATTATACTTCAGCTCTTTGAAAGTGTTAGCTTTTCAGTGGAGGGATGAATGGCCTAGCAAACTACTGGTCACTCAAAGCTAGATGGTTTGTGGACCAGGTAGCTGTGGCGTCCTGGTCATTCCCTCACTCCTAGCCAAATTACATAGTGAAGATACCTGATATGATTCCCATGACCCCTTATCCCTCTGGGAGCTGCTGAGCCCTGTCCATAGCATGTGATTGTTGTTCAGTATGTGCTGAACAGAACCATTAGTTTTTGCTTTCGTGTGCATGGTCTTCTTAGGATATGGAGGCTCAGCAGGTTAGTGAAGCGGAATCATCGAGAGAACAGTTACAAGATCTGCAAGACCAGATAGCTAGGCAGAAAACATCTAAACAAGAGCTGGAGACGGAGCTGGACCGGATGAAACAGGTAAGGAGAGGGACCTCCTCCCAGGAGAGCTTATACCCTAACCCTAACCCTGAGTGTTAGTGGTAAGGAGAAGCTTACCAGTTCCTCTTGCTTTTCTGTCTCACCCGCTTTGGTTTGGTTTTTTTTTTTTATGTTTATTCTTAGTGTTTATATGCATGATGTGTCAGTATAGGCACATACATGCTATCATCTATGTGCCATTGCTTGCTTGTGGAAGTCAAAGGACAACTTCTGGGATTGGTTCTGTCCTTCCACATTTGCATGGGGTTGAGGGATTGAACTCAGGTTGTCAGGCTTGAGCTATAAGTGCCTTAACCTACTGAGCCTTTGTTGTTGTTTTGTTTTGTTTTTGTTGGGGGCGGGCTCCTGCCTCTGCCTCCCAAGTGCTGGGATTAAAGGCATGCACCACCACACACTTTCCAACTGAGCCTTCTTGCTGACTGCAATATTGTTTGTTTTTTTAAAGGTTTGTTTATTTATTTGTGTGTCTTATGTATCTACGTAGGTATGTGTGCAGGTGTATGTGACTGTTCATGTGCACATGCCAAAAGAGGACGTCAGTGTCCTTCTCTGTCACTTTCTACCTAGTCCTTTGAGCACTTGTCTCAGCTTAGCTGGAACCAGCAAGCCCTAGTGATCCTCCTGTCTTTGCCCTCATCTACTCAGAGCTGGGGCTACAGGACTCCTGGCTTGTTACATGGATGCTGGGAGCTGAACTCTAGTCCTCAATTTTGCATAAAGTGCTCTTAACTGCTGAGCATCGCTTTAGCCCATGTTTTTGTTGTTGTTTTGTCTTAACAGATGGAAAATGGGGCACAGAATGGTGATATAACTGCCCAATACTGTAAAATGAGCTAGAGCATACAACCCAGCATCATCAGCTCAGAACCCAGAATTCTTTCTACTTCCTGTGTCTGTATCCCATCTGTCTGTCAGAGTGTGTGTAAAAACATGAAACATTGTATTCAAGTGTTAACATCTACTTTCCTAGAATTGGGAAACTGCTACTGCTACTTCTAGAAACACCCTTGGGACCATATTAGCCACTTTTCTTTTGTTTTTTTGAGACAGGGTTTCTCTGGTAACCCTGCCTGTCCAGCTCACTCTGTAGACCAGGCTGGCCTCAAACTCACAGAGATCCTCTTGCCTCTGCCTTCTGAGTGCTGGGATTAAAGGTGTGCGCCACCACCACCTAGCATAGCCACTTTCTAATGAAAGTGTATGTTCAGTTAGTTCCCCAAGACAAATTATTTTATAATATATTTATTTATTTAGGGATTTCTGTATCGAGGCAGTTGATATTAAACATGCTTTTAGCCACATTTTCAGAATAATATTCTACATCTTGTAGTAGTATCTACTGAGTAGTGACACTGTTGTTAGTACTCACTGTTTTATTTTATACAGTAAAAAGTCACTACCATTCATTTTATAGAAAATTGTTCTTGTGATTCTTAGTGTACCACTCATAAAATTTCTAATTTTTTTTTTTTTTTTGGCTTTTCGAGACAGGGTTTCTCTGTGTAGCTTTGGAGCCTGTCCTGGAACTCACTCTGTAGCCCAGGCTGGCCTCGAACTCACAGAGATCTGCCTCGCTCTGCCTCCCAAGTGCTGGGATTAAAGGCGTGCACCACCACCCCGGCATAATTTTGTATATTTTAAATTCTCTTTACTTCTTTATGTGTATTTAAATTCTTTAAATGAGTTTTTCATTAGGACTTATTATGGAAATAGTACTTAAAATTATTTTGTAACTGTTAAGAGAAAAACCAAGCAGAGACCTGCAAGGCGAGTGTGTTGCAGGTTGTCTTAGTTAATGTAATTATAAGATTAGCTGTCCTTTCAGAATTGCATTTTAGGTTATTCAAGAAGCTGCTATGTATTAAAGAGCAGCAGTTTCATGCTTGATAGGTGATGTTTTCATTTATTATGGCAGATGTTTCCCTGCACCCTCTCTCAAATGCCATTTATAAATGATGAAGTAGAGGAACATAAGCTGACTATAGCTGTAGGCTACTTACTCGTCAGAGAGCCCAGCCAGATGTAAAGTATTTAATTTTAGGATTAAATGTGTACTTTATTAAGTAATTTTAGCCTTGAATTTGTACAGACTAGAACATGGAAGAAATCTGGTAACACTCCTAGTAAATCTTTACCAGGTTATCAGCCTTGTACCCACTGAGCCATCTCACAGGCCCTTATTTTGTATTTTTAAAAATCATTTATGAACATTATATTACTGACAGCATCAATCTTTATTATTCTTTCTCATTACTCTAAGGTCAGAATATATTGTATTTCCTGATGATTTATCCTGTTAGCATGTATTTCAGAGCTAATGTTACAGCATCATGCTGACGTGTTGACTTTTCATCAAACCTATCCAAATCCATGTCTGGTCCATTCTGTGTGAGTGTGACATGAACTGAGTGCTCAGTATGAGTCAGTGTGGGTTTGGGGCTCTGGAGGTGGCATGGAGCACACTCAGATTGATTTATTCATGCCTTACACTAGGAATTCCATTACATGGAAGAAGATCTGCATAGAACAAAGAACACACTGCAGAGCAGAATTAAAGATCGAGAGGAAGAAATTCAGAAACTAAGGAATCAGGTAGGAATGAGGAAAGTGGGTGTCCTGAGTCACTTCAGTGAGGCCTTCTCTCTCCATTTCCTTCAGAATTTGATGTGAGGTTTGAGCTGCTGAAGATTTTTCATCTCACACCACTTGAATCTTCATTGCAGTACACTGTGGCTTCCCTCTGTAGAAGTATCTTGTAGCTACTTCATCTGAGGTTAGACTTGTCTCCAAAACTGCATGACTTCTGACCTCAGTGTGGGAGTGCTCATTATCACATTCATAACTGTGGTTTCTTTTTCCTAACAAAAATTCACTGATTAATCTTCATAGTATCAGTTGGTAGGACATCTATAAAGTCACGATACTTTTTTATAATTCTGAAAATGTGAAATAAAATAATGGGCACCTACATATACTTTCCACTCTTTCAAAACTATTCTATAGAAGTAGAAAAAAATAAATCTTAATCATTGTCCCTTTTGTCAAGTTTACAATTTTTTTTTTTGAGACAGGATCTCACCTTGCTGGCGTGGAATTCACTCTATAGACCAGGCTGGCCTTGAACTCACTGAGATCTGCCTGTCTCTGCCTCCTGAGTACTGGGATTAAAGGCTTGTGCCACCATGATCAGCCTCAAAAATTGTTTTTGTGATGAGGGTAGACAAGGCCTTATGCAATTTAGAAGAAAGATTTCTTTTCTTCCTTCCGTTTTTTGTTTTTTTTTTTTTGTTGTTGTTGTTGTTGTTGTTTTGTTTTGTTTTTCAAGACAAGGTTTCTCTGTGTAGCCCTGGCTGTCCTGGAACTCACTCTGTAGACCATGTTGGCTTCGAACTCAGAGATCCACCTGCCTCTGCCTCCTGAGTGCTAGGATTAAAGTCCTGTGCAACCACTGCTCAGCTAAGAAGAAAGGTTTCATAGAGCAGATACAAAAGGCACAAATCATAGAAAAAAAACTGATAAATTGAATTCATCAAAATTTAAGTTTCTACTTACCAAAAGGCAGTGCAGAAAAGAAAGGAGGAGAGCCACAGACTGGGAGAGGAGGCTTCTAGCACCTGCTCAGCCTTCCTCATGTTTCCTCAGACAATGTCGCACACAGCCCAGCTCTGGGAAGCAAACAGCCACCATAAGAATTCCTGTTGACAGTAAGAAGCTGACATACCATTTTGTTTTTGTGGGCAAAAGACTTGAACAGACCTTTTTCTGAAGGGTTAGATAAGCTTGTGAGTAGGTCACAGGGTCATCAGGATGAGTCTCACTCAGTCTCAAGACAATGGCTCAGCTTTCAGGATAGAAGAAGAAGCCTGTGCTGCTGGCTGTTGCACAGCACTGGGGAAACTGGCTTCCTTTTTATTTTTTATTATTTATTTATTTAGAGGTAAGGTCTTGCTGTTTAGTCCTGGCTGACTTGGAATGCACTGTAATCCTTCTGCCTCAGCCTCCCAAGTTCTGGGCTTATAGTCATGAACCACTATTTCTGGCGGGCAGTTGCCAGTTTCTGGTGAGGTTAGCATCTATCTCTCCTGTGACTCTAGACGTTTACTACAAATGAAGGTGTATCCCACAAAAACACTTGACTTTCGTATTTATTCATAAGCAGTTCAAATTGGAAACAAACCAGGTTTCCCTGCAGGTAAATGATTAAACAAGTTGTGAGCCAGTATATATTGAGGCTGGAGAAATGACTCAGCAGTTAAGAATACTGGCTGCTCCGGCCGGTGGTGGCGCACGCCTTTAATCCCAGCACTTGGGAGGCAGAGGCAGGCGGATCTTTGTGAGTTTGAGGCCAGCCTGGTCTACAGAGCGAGGTCCAGGAAAGGCTACCCAGAGAAACCCTGTCTCGAAAAACAAACAAATAAAAAAAAAGAATACTGGCTGCTCATCCAGAAGACCTGGGAATGAGCTTGATTCCTAGCATCCACATGGTAGCTCACAGTCATCTGTAATTCCAGTTCCTGGGAATCTAGTACTCTCTTCTGGCGTCCATGAGCACTAGGCATGAATAGGTGTGCAGACATGCATGTAGATACAACACCCATACACATGAAATAAAATAAAAACAAAATGATAAAAATGTATAGAATGATGTGACAACTTAGCTAAAACTGTTCTTTATTCCCCTAGGACAGTCCACTTACAGGAAACCCAGGAACAGGCAAAAGCAAACTCTGGTGCCAGAATTGAAAGTGGGTTGTGCGTGGTGATGGGAACGTTCTGTTCTGTCCAAAGTTGCATGGCTAGGGGATCACAGCATAGTCTTTTAGGGTGCCACACTATTGAACTGTAGATTTGGAATCCTGTTTAAGAAGTTTGAACTGTGGCCTGTAAACTTGACCATGTCAACTGCAGTAAGAAACATAGTTTATGTGTGTCTTCATCGTCACATGCATTCATAATACAAAACCAGAACAGAGGCCCAGCTTGGTGGCACCTGCCTATAACCTCAGCATTCAGGAGGCTGAGGCAGGATGATCCTGAGTTTTAGGCCAACCTGAGCTATATAGTGAGTTCAAAGCTACAAAAGGAGACCCTATCTCATAATAACAAAGAAGTTAACACAATAACATATGTATACTGTGTATTATATGAATTCCAGGAAATACCCCATCTATTACATTCTCTAACTGCTGGTGGGTGGCCTACTGATGTGGTTTAAAGATTACTTCTAGCCAGTGAGAAATCTCTTATTGCAGTAGAGATTTGAAGACCCAGTTCATGTCCTTTCTATAGCATACACCATTGAGCCTGTGAACTGATTAAGTGGACACTTTCCCCTGCAGCTTACCAACAAAACTTTAAGCAACAGCAGCCAGTCAGAGCTAGAAAGCCGACTCCATCAGCTGACGGAGACACTCATCCAGAAGCAGACCATGCTAGAGAGCCTGAGCACAGAAAAGAACTCGTTGGTCTTCCAGCTTGAGCGCCTGGAGCAGCAGGTGCACACTGCCTCCACCGGGCCCAGCAGCGGATCCTCCATTAACATGTCTGCAGTTGACAGTGGTGAAGGTAACCCTAGAGAGAGCACAGCAACAAAACATGATTCTGAAAAATTACAGAAAGACCATTTTTACTGAAAAGGAATTTTCTTCAGTGACTCTTTTCCTGGTGTGAGACTTGGTTCCTGTGCTGTTAGTATAATCATTAGAAAGATGTAGACTAGCCGGGCGGTGGTGGTGCATGCCTTTAATCCCAGCACTCGGGAGGCAGAGGCAGGTGGATCTCTGTGAGTTCGAGGCCAGCCTGGTCTACAAAGTGAGTTCCAGGAAAGGCGCAAAACTACACAGAGAAACCCTGTCTCGAAAAATCAAAAAAAAAAAAAAAAAAGAAAGAAAGATGTAGATTGGACTAATACCTCACAGCTGTTAGAGGGCCTGGGATTGGGAAGCATGTTGGAATAAGAAGATACGAGACAAAGCAGGAATTCAGTAGCTTAGAAATTTCAGGACACTTAAAGAGAATGTGTATTCATGATCCCTTAGTAAATTAGTGTTGATGTCTATATTAATTTGCATGTTTGTCCATGCACTTTAATTATGACAAAAATCTTTTTTTTTTTTTTTGGTTTCTTGAAATGAAGATTTTAAAATGCATATTCAAAAAGAGTATGTCAGCACCAATATCGATAGGCCAGAATTTTAAATTTACAATCTCATAAAACCTATATGCAGTCATGGAGCAAATCTCTCAGTTCTTTGGCTTTAACATTACTTTAAAAATTAAAAAATTTAAAGAGGATGCCATGTATAGGGATCAGTTGGAATTTAAGTAGAGTGGCCAATGGAAAATCCAGTTGAAAAGTGACACATTATTAAAGTTCCAAAGGGTGTGATAAGAATGTGAACTGTAAGGAGGCCCAGAGGAAAAGTGTTCCAAGTAGCTGGAAGAGCAGGTGCCCTGATGATTCAGGAACAGGAAGGAGTGAGGCAAGGTGAATTCAGAGAACTTGGAGAAGGCTGCATAGACGTATATAAGGACTTCACTCTAAGTAAGGTAGGGATCTGATTTGCACCGTATTGTGATGTCTCTGGGTGACTCAGACCTGGCATGGTGATGTGGTCCAGTGGTGCAGCATTTGCTAACATGTAAGGGTTTTTCCTCAGCACCCTCCCCCCCCAAAAAAAACCCAAAAAAACAAAAAAAAAAAAAATCCCTTAAGTTTCAGAGGGCTAAGAGCACAGGCAGGCAGAGAGGCCAGGGTGCCTTTGCATTAATCTATGTAAGAGATGGTAGTTTTGATCAGAGTGGGATTGGTGGGGGATGGAGGGCTGTGAGAACTTATTTGAAAAGCATGCTGGCAGAATTTACTGAAAAGCTTGCAAGAAAAGTGAAGGATTTGGGCCTGAGTGGATGGAAAGGTGGAGTTGTTATGTTCCAAAATGGGAAGACATCCAGAGAAGGAGTTTGCCAGAGAGAAAAAGAGACTGAAATCATCATAGTTGGTACATGAGCTTGATGCCCTTAGTGATGCAGAAGAAAGAGATAAGCAGCCGGATGGCTGGAGTGGGGTGGGGCTGGAAGTGCCCATCTAGGAACCAGCATCCTCAGTGCTAGGGGACCACTGGCCTCTCTCAAAGCCAAGGCCCAGGAATGTTGACTCTTGCAAGCACCAGATGTTGTAAACTTTTTAGTATCTACTAAAATTTTGTGGGAATTGAAGCATTTTCTGTAGTTGATCTGTGTTAACGATTTTTTTCTACTCTAGGGGCAGTGCTTAGAAAGTCTGCCTTGAGAAATTCTTCCTCATATGATACGATACATTTTCAATTCTAATTTTCTTAGAAAGTCAATTTTGGTATCAATATGTTAATCTGTTCTCTTATTTCAACAGGGACACGCCTTCGGAATGTTCCTGTTCTTTTTAACGACACAGAAACTAATTTGGCAGGAATGTATGGAAAGGTTCGCAAAGCTGCTAGCTCCATTGACCAATTTAGGTAAGCAGTGCCACTCAGGATGAGTGATGGCCACAACTATTTTAATACTGTCTTCCAGTTGGCACAGCCACCCTGAGTCCATTGGGGCAGAGCTAACATTTAAAGTGACAGTTCCCTTATTCTTTTATGATACTCCCAAGCTGTGAAATTGTCTTAAGCAGTCTGCCAGTGCTTCAGCATTATTGAACATTATCAGTCCTGGCGGACCTCTCCCAACAAACTCAACCAAGAAGCTGTCATTACCTAATTTGAAAGAGGTAGCTCCACTTCTTTTTTCTTTTCTTTTTTTTTTCAAGATAGGGTTTCTCTGTGTAGCCCTGGCTGTCCTGGAACTCGCTCTGCACACCAGGCTGGCCTTGAACTCAGAGATCTGCCTGTCTCTGCCTCCCAGTGCTGGGATTAAAGGCATACACCACCATGCATGGCTGAAGCTGTCATCACTCACTGAAACCAGTCCCAGCACCAAGGAGACAGAGACAGGATCATTTGAGTTCCTGAGGTCAAGACCAGCTTGGACCACATATTGAGACTTTCTCAGAACAACTCACTGAGTAATAAATAAGTCCTCTGCTCATGAGATAGTGTCCATGTGATGTGTTATCTAGTACTTCATCGTGGATTTGAAGAAAAGATGCTGCAATAGAGAGCTGAACAATATTCCTTATAACTTGTTTTAATATGTCCATAAGTAATATTTAGAATTTATGTTATGTATTTACATACAGAATTTTTATGCTTGCAAGCATCCACTTTATAAAGAAAATATTTTAATAGTTTACCTAGAGCCTTGATGAACTTCATATCTAAAAAAACCTCTAATATGCCAATTTTCCTGTTAGTGTTTATAGTTAGACATGGTCTTAATGAATTGTGTGATAAGAGTAATGTTTTCTTAGCCTTTCTGAGTCAGAATAGAGCTGTGGTGTTTTGTTTTCTTTTTAATTGCATAGATTTATTTATTTAGAGGAAACTTTTTTAGTAATTGTTTTTAGATTTATATATTGAGTGTTGTATCTGTATGTACACCTTCAGGCCAGAAGAGGGCAGCAGATCCCATTACAGATGGTTGTGAGCCACCATGTGGTTGCTGGGAATTGAATTCAGGATCTCTGGAAGAGCAGCCAGTGCTCTTAACTGCTGAGCCATATCTCTTAAGCTATGGTGTTTAAAAAAATTTTTAAAAAGGCAGGTGGTGGCACACGCCTTTAATCCCAGCATTCGGGAGGCAGAGGCAGGTGGATCTCTGTGAGTACAAGGCCAGCCTATTCTATAGAGCGAGATCCAGGACAGCCAGGGCTACACAGAGAAACCCTGTCTCAAAAAAACTTGGGGGTGGGGATTGTTCCTGAAGCCACAGGACTGTAGTCACTGTGTGAATAAAGTGCTTGTATTTAGCATAGACCCTAGAAAACTTAGCTGCCGTGGGAGTGCTACCAGCAGTAAGACAGAGGAAAGGGATGTTTCCTCATACACACATCTTGATAAGGAAAAGCCTGCAAAGAGCTGTGAGCAGTGAGGGTGGCTGCCACACTGCCTCTACCACGTTCACTCAGATGTCTGTCTGAGGTGGTTTGTTTGTTTGTTTGTTTGAGACAGGGTCTCTCACTCTGTAGCTTGGGTCTGGAACTCACTGTGCAGTCCAGGCTGGCCTCAAACTCACAGAGATCCGTTTACCAGTGCCGAGATTAAAGGTGTGTACTGCCACACCTAACCCTTTCTGAATCCCTATGGTTTAGTCCTCTTGGAAAAATATGTCTATGCAGAAGTTTCTAGATTAACCACTTCCAAGTAAATGCTTGAACTGAAGTTTGGTTTTTTTATACCTATGATTTCAGCATTCTTTTATTATTATTATTGTTAGTATTTTTATGTATCTAGTATTCCATCTGCATGTATGCCTGTAGGCAGGCCAGAAGAGGGCACCAGATCTCATTACAGATGGTTGTGAGCCACCATGTGGTTGCTGGGAATTGAACTCAGGACCTCTGGAAGAGCAGACAGTGCTCTTAACTGCTGAGCCATCTCTCCAGCTGAACTGAAGTTTCAACAGCTAACTCCAAATAACAATAGAAGTATTTGTTTGACCTTCTTGTGTGGTCATTTTAAGTAATCATGTGAGTCTACAATTAAACCATCCTTCTGTGGTAGTCACATGAATAGTTTGATTGATGCTTTAAAAAATTAATCCCGGCCGGGCGGTGGTGGCGCACGCCTTTAATCCCAGCACTTGGGAGGCAGAGGCAGGCGGATCTCTGTGAGTTCGAGGCCAGCCTGGTCTCCAAAGCGAGTTCCAGGAAAGGCGCAAAGCTACACAGAGAAACCCTGTCTCGAAAAACCAAAAAAAAATAAAAAATAAAAAATAAAAAATTAATCCCAGCACTTGGGAGGCATTGCCAGGTGGATCACTGTGAGTTCATGGCCAGCCAGGTCTATAGAGTGAGATGCAGGACAGGCACCAACACTACACAGAGAAATCCTATATGGGGGGTGGGGGGTGGGGGGGGGGGTTACTGGATAGGCTGGGTGGTGGTGGTGCATGTCTTTAATCCCAGCACTTGGGAGGCAGAAGCAGGTGGATCTCTGTAAGTTCAAGGCCAGCCTGGTCTACAAAGCAAGTCCCAGGACAGCCAGGGCTACACAGTGGAATGCTGTCTCAAAAAACAAAAGCCAAACAAACAAACAAACAAAAAAGCCCATTGCATGTTAGCCAGGTGGTAGTAGCACATGTCTTTAATCCCAGCGCTCCAGAGGCAGAGGCAGGTGGAGCTGTGAGTTTGAGGACAGCCTGGTCTACAGAGTGAGTTCCAGGACAGCCAAGGCTATAAAGAGAAACCCTATTTCCAAAAAACCAAACACACACAAAAAAAGGATGTTAACTCAGGAAGATTTGCTTTGAGTATAATTCCTTTTTCCTCACCTGTTTGCACAGTATTCGCTTGGGAATTTTTCTCCGAAGATACCCCATAGCACGAGTGTTTGTGATTATCTATATGGTGAGTAAATTTATTTAAAAGTAGTGTCTGTTTGATTACTGTCTGTTGTTTTGGCTGCTAATCTTATTCATATTTTACCAATTAACTTTGATAAACTTTTCTCTAAATACAAGTTAGCCATTTATTATGTTAAGAACATACATTGCTCAGAGGCTTTTCCTGAAGATAAAGTTAACTGTAATGTAGTTTAACAGTCACCTCCATTTTTAAGTCTAATGACAAAAATACAGTAGAGAACCGCTGATTTAGTTTTTATCTTAATGCTGTAAAGTTGCTCTGATTATTTTCATGTATTTTACTTTATTTTTCTAGAAGGATCTCAAGGCCAATTCATTTTCTTCTGGGTATTTTAGTTGCACAGAACCAGTTGCAGAAATTGGAGTGCTATTTCATGTGTGCTGTGCCTAAAAGCCACTCACTGTGCTAAGCAGGGGTGTCTCTTAAGAGATTAGGCTGACTTAAAGGCTGTTTTCTTAAGAAAGAGAAACCTGCTTTGAAAAGAAATTTCTATGTGATCCACTAGAGGGAGGAGTCATTCCTCTAAATAAAAAGCTTTAGCAAAGGAGGTGGGTGGGGAGGAAGAAAAAAGAAGGGCATCAGAAAGATTTCAGAGTGCACCTCACAGGGCCGACTGCCCAAGCGCCTGCCACCATGAGTGTTGTGGGTACCGGTCGGCATTAGATGCTGTGTGTGCTGCCTACAGAATTTACACATCCAACTGATGGGACCGTTCATAGTGCCCCAAGGGAGCCGGGAATTTGTCACTAATTCAACCTCTGACACTGACATGTTGCTCCTGTCAAGTGTGCTTTCCCATCTCTTCACCAAAGCTGGCTAAGCCGTCCTCAGAACACCAGTCACTAACTGTCTCACAGGGTCTTGCCAGCCAGCGCCTGTCTGCCTAACAGTGCTTTCCCAGCTCTGCACAGCCATCTGGTTGTTCCTGCAGATGCGACAAGTCAGGAGTGTTGGTGTCGGGGCCTCTCCAGCTAGATCTGCAGTATGTATGCAGCTGTCTGTTCACCACTGGTCATTTGTTTCTTTATTCAGCCAGTAAACGTACCGAGCCCCTGCTATGTTTCAGACCTTGTCCTAGAGGGTACAAAGACAAGGCATGGTCCCTGTCCTCCCTGCACAGTCCTTAAAGACTGATTGATTGGCTGACACATGAACTGTTTTCTCTCCCTCTAGGCTTTGCTTCACCTCTGGGTCATGATTGTCCTGCTGACTTACTCACCAGAAATGCACCATGACCAACCGTATGGCAAGTGAACTGAGCCGCTGGTTCCCAAGAGTGCCTGCCATTGTCCAGAGCTGGGGTCTGCAGAAAGACCAACACCTAAGACTGCTTGGAACAGTGCACAAGATGCTTTCCTCACGGAAAGCTTTTAATCTTTAAGTTATTACTCTGGTGTCTGGCTCTCCCTGATTTCCATAAGAGTCTCTAAATTCAGACAGTAATTGGACAAATTCGACTCTGCTTTTTCTGAGTACAGTTAGTTGCCCTAGATATTGAGAGAGAGAGAGAGAGAGACACACACACACAGAGAGAGACACAGAGAGAGAGAGAGAACGAGAACCCTGGGGGTTGTTGCTCTGTACAGACCTTTCTATATTTTAGATGACACTGATTATGGGTTATAATCAGGGAAACTAATTGTATTTAGGGATAAAAATAAAAAGATTTCTTTTTTAATAACTTAGTGTGCTTTCTATTTTCATATATTTAACTGCAACTGTTTAATTTTTGCATGTTAGGTTCCTGGTTGGTATAACTCTTTTTTAAAATACATAAATAAAATACACTGTGCATTTTCCTTTTTTTAAATAATGATTTTCTAGAGAAGACCTCTCCAGTGGTTAGTGGTTAGTGACACGGCCGCAGTCACTAGGTGACTGTGGTGTTCCCCGCTGCTCTCCTTTCTGCCCGTGTTGTCTTCCTTTTCCCCAGCCTGTGTCTCAGGGTTAGTTCATGGGGGTTGAAGCCTCTGCTTGTAGCATGTGGGAGATGTCTATTTACCAGTGCTATAGCTGGGTACTATAGTGAACCTTTGAAGGGGACATTTTCTATGTGCCCAGCATGATCTTTGAATTGTCTTTCCTCTTCATCTGGAGTCACATGTCGGTTTGTCACGCAGGTCCTGGTGGTCTCTTTGTATGTACTTAATACACATGGCTCTTGAACAGTGAGTGGGAGCAGTCCTCTTCTTGGGCCTGTCTTGATGAGGTCACTTGATGCCAGCTGAGACTCCATTGCCATGACTTGAACTGGCATGCAGGGAATAAGTAGAAAGCCCTAGACTCTTGCACAGTGTGGACTGCTTGTTTCCTGTTTCCTACACTCAAATGCAGTTTTGAGGTCATATTAGGTATGTTTGGACTTCTGTTTTCAGTGTGGCAGAAATGAAAAAGGTCGGGGGTTTCACATCCTATAAACGGGGGCTCAGCATAGAGCTCGGCACTGAATCTAGGAGATCGCTGGCAGGAGCCCTACTTGGGGATGAGCCATCACAGTCTGAGCTGTGGAGTCAGGTCTATCTCAGACAAGTAAGGGAAGAGTTCAATCTTGTTAATGGATTTTAAGATTTTTTTTTCTCCTAATTTGGAAATGTTTCTGGAAAATGATTAAAACCAGGTTCCACCCTTAAAATGGAAAACAGCACATGCTCGTGGCTGTGTGTTGCCAGACTTCCCGTCTTTGTGTCCTCCTGGCTTTTGTTGGGACATCTGTGAGTCTTTTGTCCAGTCTGCACATTCTTGGCTTTGGCAATGTTTGACTAAGTGTTTCCGGGATCATGGTTCTGCAGTCAGTTGTCTTTAATTGAGTTTCAGATGCATTACTCTTGTCCACTCACAAACTGGGCAAGGCAATTAGAGGGCCTGCAGGAGGCCAGGTCAGTAGACTCTGTCTAGGGCCAGTGCCTTTATTTGAAAGTTTTTGCAAGGTGGGGCTTCCACCAGGACAGTATTTAAAGGGATTTCAGACATGCACAGAATTCTTGGACTGCGTTGTATTGATAGGTGTCAGTTGAAAAACAAGATTATTTTTAAAATTCCCTTTCTAGACATTATCCTTTATGAAAACCATCTTTTCTGAGGCTACAGAGCAAAACTTCCCAAGGAAAGACCTTTTGGTTTGGTTTGGTTTGCTTCTGCCTCCTGAGTGCTGGGATCAAAGGTGTGCGCCTAGAGCAGAATGTGAAGGGCCCAGAGTCCAGCCAGATGCCCCGCTTACCTGTGGGATAGGGCACACTCCTTAGGCCTCACTGGGCTCCAGTCCCCTGTTGCCAGGGGCCACCTGAGTGCTGGAAGTGGCAGAATGGACCTCAGTGTGGGTACAAGAAGGAAGGAGTTGGTGATGCCTGAGAGACAAGGACCAATGGCCCAAGACTCTTGAGACTGATTGGCCATAAGAAACCCAAAGGAGAAACAATTGGGTCTTTCTCCTTTTCAGCCTCTTAGAATTAAGGGATAGAACTTTCTGAGGAGAAAGAGGCAATCTGCTAACGGCCAGTCTAACTGCACAGCTGTAGAGCAGAACACTCCAAATGAGCTAGGCCTGATGTAGATAAGCACTCCTGCGCCTTGCTTGTGAAGTTGCTTGCTCCCACCTGTATCTGACCCATGGCACATCCAGAGAACCTGTACAAAGAAAAGGGGAATAAAGCCTGCTGGAGGCATTTCCCATCCCTCCCTCCTAGAAAGTCTTCACCTGTTAAGGTTTGTGTGTAAACTCCGTGGCTCCTGGGTTTGGACTCTTGGTCCTGGCTGATGGTGCTGTTTGAGGAGGTTTGAAACCTTCAGAGCTAAGACCTGGCTGGCAGAAGTAGGCCACTAGGAGCAGGCCTTGGCTGCAGAGTCTAGCCCACTTCTCTGTCTTCCTAACCTGCTAGGATATAAAGCAGGTAGCTCATGGCTGCGTGAACCCCGCCATGCCTTCCCTTCTGTGGCTGCGTGAACCCCGCCATGCCTTCCCTTCTGTGGCTGCGTGAACCCTGCCATGCCTTCCCTTCCACAATGGACGGTACCTTTCAAACCATAAGTCAAAAAATATATATAATCAGAAGGAAGAGCTTATTTGGGAATTTGGTTCCAAAGGGCTAGACATCTAGATGTCCATTAATATGGTGAAGGTGTGGACCTAGGGGTAGGAAACTGAGAGGTCACAAGTCTTTTTTTTTTTTAAATGCCAATACCAAGCTGTATTTATTTATTTAATCTTTTTTATTATTATTAAGAAATGTTCTATTCACTTTACATACCAACCACAGATCCCCCCCCTTCCCTCTTCCTACCCACCAGCCTTCCCCCACAACCCACCCCACTTCCCCACATTTTCCAAGTCAAGGTCTCCCATGGAGAGTCAGCAGAGCCTGGCTCACTCGACTGAGGCACGTCCAAGCCCCTCCCCCCTGCACCAAGGCTGTGCAAGGTGTCACACCCTAGGCACTGGGCTCCAAAAAGCCCACTCATGCACCAGGGACGAGGTCACAAATCTTAATTGCACACAAGAAGTAGAAGAGAACAGGAAGTGGAGTGAGCTTATAAACTCAAAGCTCATCCACCATGTTGTACTTCTTCTATGTCCATGCCCTCCCTAAACAGCAACTAAAGACCAAGTGTTCAAATGCAGGAGTTTATGGGGGCACATTTCTCATCCAAGCCACACTATGCCCTAAATCCCAACAGGTTCATGGCCATATCAAAAGGCAAAATGCATCTAGTCCAACTTCAAAAGTTGTCTTGGCCTTTAAAAGCCTTAACATGGTTCAAAAATTCCATCTCTTCCATATAATATATTTTGATTATATTCTCCTCAATCCCTCAAGCCCTCCTATGTCCTTGATAGCTGTTGGGATGAGAGAAATCAGTTTTCTTCAATGGAGTGACATGGGGCATATCAGCCACACTCCAGGCAGGTCCCTTGCTCAGGAGTAGTGTGCCAACACAAATCAGGCTGCACATTTTTGTTTGATGTTTGTATTTTTAAAAGAGAAAAAGATCTGGAATAATTTTCTTTTAAATGGTAGTGAGAGTATAATTTGAATTTATAAATGTTCTGTGTCCCAGCCATTTCTCAGATGTAGAATGTGGACCATACTTGCTGCCCTCAGGGAATTTACAGTTAAGTGGGGAAGGCAAACTGTGACTGTCATTTAGAGTTAAGTCACTGAATAGAGGTAAAATGGGCCATGGGTGTGAAGTGGGACAGCGGGGAGGTGGTGCTTTTGTGGTCATTAGGACAAGAAGGATATGGGGTGGACTTTCTCCACTGGAGGTTCAGTGAGTGTCAGACATCTGGATGGGCACACACAGTATGCTCGGAACCACGAGGAGCCAGTGTGGCCAGGACAGAACTGGAGGAGGGGGCATGCAGAGCCAATGGAAAGACTTAGGCTTCAAAGCGTCTTTTTGTGTCTGCATAGTGATCCCTTGTCCTCTGAGTCAACAGCACCTTTAAACAGAGAGAACCTGTACCAAGCCGTGTTTGTCTGGGGTCTGGAGATTGCAGTCGCCCCGTGTGAGCATTCTGAGCGAGGGTGGCAGTGGGTTTGGCCGAGGTGAAGACAGCTTCACCTTTATCACTGCCCGAATGTGTTTAACCAGAAAGACTAAATGCACTGAACTTTTCATTGGCGTGACAGAAAAGCTGCGTAAGCAGCTTAAGGGGAGGATTTATTGTGGGTCACAGTTCGAGAAGGGTCAGTGCACGGGGAAGGACCGAGCACTGTGGGGCAGGAAGCAAAGGGAAATGCAGTGGATAGGGCAGTGGACAGGGCATCATGTAACCCTCAACAACACCCCTCCCAACTTCCTCTAACTAGGCCCCACCTTGTCCTTACAGCACCTCTCTATTATAAATCCATCAAGGGATCAGTCTGTTTATTAGGTCAAGGCCCCCAGGACCCAATCACTTCCCAAAATCTTAGCAGTTTGTAACCAAGCCCCCACTCCATGACCCTGTTGGGGGGGAGAAAATCTTGCATTCAGATAACACCAAATCAAGGAAAGCAAAAGTCCCCTCAGACTTCTTGATCTCCATGTTCAAGGTTAACCCCTCATCGCTGTTTAAGTCAAAAACAAACAGAAAAACAAAATCCAGGGCTAGAACCTTCGGCATCTGTAGGCAAGCATCTTCCTTTCGCTAACTGTAGTGTGAGCCACTGCCAGGCATCCCTGCTGTCATGCCATCAAAACTTAGACATGCCTTATCTCGTTACATAGTCAGCCCCTGTGGGATCACAGAGCACTGCTTGTCATGTAACTGATGCTTCTCCACTCTCTCCCTTCATGTTCACACAACTGCTCTGGGGCCTCAAGCCACAGCAAAGAAGAGAAACAAAGCAGACAGGTATGTGAGCATTCCCAAGAAGGAAAGCTGTGAACATGTAAAGCATCCAAGCTGGGCTGCAGAGCTGGCTCAGCGGTTCAGAGCATGCACTGCTCCTGTAGAGGACCCGAGTTCAGTCCTCAGACCCATGTTGGGCGGCTCACAACTGCCGGTAACTCCATCCCCGGTGAATTCAATGTCCTTGCCTCATTCAACCGCCCCCCACCCTCTCACAGAGAGAGAAAGGTGGGGGGAGGCAAAAATACCTTACTGCTTTTACACACGAAGCCTAGACGTGTCTGCAAGTGCATAGCAGTGTGGTGACATTCCCACATGGTAACAGTCTGTTACTGTGCCAGCCATTTGCTGCCT